AGGCTTTGGCTAGTGGCAAGGCGGGGGTGGGTTGGTTTGTCCTGGCCCGGAGGTCGCAGCCTCCGGGGCCGGGCTCCGCCAGTCACTCAGCAGAGCAAGGGCCGGGGGGAGAGAAGAGACGCGCCACCCACCCCAGGGGACCCCCCGCGCGCGGAGCGGAGCGCCCAGGGGCCGGCCGACCTTGTCGTTGATGAGGATCTCCATGGGGTTGTTGCCCCACTCGATGAGGACCAGCTCGTTGGCCTGGCCGGGCACGGCGTAGGAGAAAGGGGTCCCCACGCCCGGCGAGGCGTTGGACTTGATCCACATGCACACGGAGAAGGCGTACATCTCGGGCAGGCTCTTCTTCACCTTGGCGTACATGTAGTTGGTGCGCAGCGGGAAGGTCAGCTGGAACTTGTCGGTGGGCCGGTTGTCTTTCTGCCCTGCCCGAGGAGAGGGGAAGCTGTGGGGCGGCTGAGCAATGGGGGCGGGGGGAAAGGGGTGGAGGTGGCAGGCACAGAGCACGAGGGGGTGGCCCCGGGCCCCGCAGCGGGGCCCCAGGAGGGACAGCGGGGCCAGGCGGCCCCTCGCTCAGGACCAAGGACAGCAGCACCAGGGGCTCCGCTTTGGCGCTTCATTCCTCCCCACCGCCCGCAGCTTCCTGCCCCCAGGTTACATAACGAGCCTTACTCTGGCCTTGGCCGGGTCCCTGCGCGCTCTGCGCTCTAATCCGGGCCCCAGGAGCCGCGCTTGGGGACCGCCCCCCCCTTACAGCTTGGCTCCCTTTCCAAGCCCCTTTCCGAGCCAGAGGGACCGGCCCCAATCCAGATCCCGCAGGGCCCCCGCTGGTTGAGAGCCGGACGCTGCCCTGAGCGCGTCCAACACCTTCACCCGGGCTGGAGCACGGACCTGCAGCGGCGCTGGCACCGAACGCCTCAGACACGCGAGGCGGCGCTTCCCACTTCGCACGCAGCTCCCCCCATTCCTGGAGACCAGGAGCCTTTGCCCCGCCAAGGTAAGGAGAAAGAGACCCGCTTTCACCCCGGGCCGCTGAACTCCATGTCTGCGCCTCTATAGAGGGGGTGAAAGTGCCGCGTAACCGGGAGAGGCTTCGCTCCTGTCCTGCGCTAGGAACCGGGCCTGTCACGCCAGCCACGGCCGGAGCCGGTTACCTTTCTCCAGGTCGCTGATCCGTTGGTGCAGGGACGTTAACGTGCTCTCGATCTTGCTTCTTTCCTCCGACTCGTTCTTCGGGTTTAACTTCCCTTCCTCCAGGTTGTTCACGCGGGACAGAACCTGCTTCTCCAAGTCGTCTATTTTGGTTTGCAGCATGTCCTTCAGGTTGCCGGTCTGGCCGGAGGAATTCAGCCGGCTGAACTGCTGCGGGGAGCAAAGAGAGTAAGTGGATTGTGACAGACCAAATTACCGCCCTGCGGTATTTACCCGGGCCCGGCTCCCGCGCCGAGAGTTAAACTCATTTAGCTCTTCCCAAACAAGCGGCCTCGCTTAATTAAACTAAAGCAAACACAGCTGCCCCTCGGAGATGACAGCGCGACAGGCTACCCCGGGGCCAAGATGTGGACGAGGTAGAGACATGAATGACCCCGGCCCGGGTCCCCGGGGCTAGCGCTACGGAAGAACAGAAGTGAAAGGTACCTCTAGGTTTTCTAGCCTTGTCTTAAGTGACTGCAAAGTTTGCCCAAGTTGGCTCAAGGTCTCGGCAGCCGGCGCCCGGGACAGATCCCCCATGGTGTTTTTGGACGCGCCGTTCTGCTTGCGGCTGGCTCCCCCGCCCGTTTTGGGCTCGCTGGGGCCCGTCTCCAGCGAGCTCTGGCTCTCACACCTGCCCAGTTTGGTGGTCAGCTCCCGGATGGTCTCCTTGTGGTTCATGATGGTCTCCTTTTGCTGGAGCACCGTCTCCCGGAGCTGCAGGACCGTGCTCTTGAGCTCCTCGGCGGTGCCGCCGCCCTGCAGCGAGGAGGTGCACATGTCCATATCCAGCGGCACGGAGGTGCAGATGAAGCGCGTCTGGCCGAAGCCCTGGGCCCAGGCCCGCAGCAGGAAGAGCGAGGCGAGGAAGAGGCTGCACAGCACCCCTGCAGGCATGGCTGGGCCT